TGTGTGTGTGTGTGTGTGTGTGTGTGTGTGTGTGTGTGCATATGGGGTAGTGTGTATGTATCTCAGGGGTTAGAGTGTGATGTGTGTGTGTGATGTATCTGTGTGTATGTCGTTGTCGGTGTGTATGTTTGTGCGTGTCTGCATATGTGTATGATTCTAGAAAACAGCTTGAGGTTTTAAAAAAGAGTCCAGAGGATAGAAAGCATGTTGTAATCAGGGAAATGTGAATTAATTTCTCTGCAGCTCCATGAATGTTGGAGATAATGAATGAAACCTAATGTAGAAGGACATCATAAGGTTATGACAACCCTCTGCAAACAGTGTAAGTTACCAAGCATTACTCAAGTATTAGTTAATTACCACTTAGAATTCTCTCCTATCAAAGGGAACCTGACAGGCTGATAAGTGAGTCTCTAAACTTGGCCTTGGGAATCAGGGAGACTACAGAATCTCATGTTTTATTAACTTTGCTGTTTCTTAGGGTCTAATCTTAGTCATCTTCAAGGTTTCCAAGTTAGGATATATGTAAACATTAAAGCAGCAGGATTCCTATATATCAAAATATTTAAGCAATAAGCATTTAGAGAGCTTGGCAGAATAGAAATGAGAAAATTCTGGGAGTAATTTTAGCCCTCCCATGGGAAAATTACAATATGAAAGAAAGTAAAGTTATACAGTGTGTTTCCACAGGCTGTGGGTTAATGGGTATTTTTATTGTAATGGACAAAATCCTTTCACATTTGATTGTATAAATATCCTTAGAATTTATGATCACAATGGAAAATATCAGGGTTTTTCTAGCTCTCTTTACTCAGTCAACAGTGATGGGCTGCACTGTGATTACCTGACACACAGTCAAACAAAGGTGACCTCGCACATTGATCTATTGCTCTCTGGGGAGGAGAGCTCTCCGAAGCTCTGTTTCAGAATAACAAGGTGAGAGGGAACTGATTCAAACTTCCTTTGAAAGAAAATGTCAGATATAGATTAGAGAAATAACAGAAATATCCCAGATTTCTTCAAAAGATACACAGGATTATATTTCCTAAAGTTCCAGAGACCCAAACCTAGAGAGCAGGTGTGTTGGTCTGTTAACCCCACAGTGGACTCAGAGGAGAATAAGTGAAAGAAGCTGGAAGCTGTGCATAATTATAATTCACATTTTGGTACAAATGCGAGCAATACCTTCCTTTTCCTTTAACCAATTGTTACTATTTTTATTAAATTATTTTGTTGCTATTTAGTACTAAAACGAATAGTTTTATTAATTATTAATACCATATCTGCCCTCTGATGCAATTCAAGGCTTTTATGTAGTTGGGTAGAAATCTAGGGTAAGGGCTTGGAGAGATTGGAGAGAAATGGCTAAATGATTTAAAGCATGTGGTGCACTTAACTAGGTACTCAATTCACAGTAGCCTCTTCAGGTATCTCAAAATCACCTATAACTCCAGCTTTTGGGGATAAGTGCCATCTTCAGGCATCCATGGACATCCATATACCACACGTGTGGCATAAACACAAACACAAAGACGGAGGAGGGGAGAGAGAGAGAAAGACAGAGAGAGAGAGAGAGAGAGAGAGAGAGAGAGAGAGAGAGAGAGAGAGAGAGAGAGAGAGAGAGAGAGAGAGAGAGGGGTGCTCAGGATGTTGAGAACATCATTTTAAGTGTTTCCTATTCGTTTATCTTTTTCTGAGAAGTTTTTTTTATGCAGTTCCATTTCCCATATTTTAATTAAGTGGTTTATTTTTAATATTTCATTTTTGAGTCTCTAATATATTCAATGCATGAATCTGCTGTTGGATATATAGTCGGCAAAGATCTTCTCTCACTTGTCAGCTCCTTCCACTCACTTCAGTTTCCTTTCCTATGCCGACAAGTTTTAATTCCATAAATTCTCTCTGTGTGCTGTTGGTGTGATTTCCAAAGCTATTAGAGTCTTATTCAGAAAGTCTATAAGTTGAAATGTGCTCCCCAAGTTTTCTTCCAGCAGTTTCAAAATTCCTGGTCTTACGTGGAGTTCATGGTACACTGACACTTGACGTGTACACAGGATAAGAGGTAAGGATTATCTTCACTTTCTTGCATGTAGCTTTCCAGTTTGACCATCATCATTTATTGAAGATTTTTTTCTACCATAATTATTGCCATATTACTTTAAAAATCCTATGTCATATCTACGCAGGTATATTTGGGTATTATATTCTATTCTATCTCATTGATTTATGTGCCTGTTTTTGTGCCAATATCATTTTGTAATTTTTTGATATGACTTTGTAGTATGATTTGAAACCTGATATGGTGGTATCTCTCACAGTATTCTTTTTGTTCAAGATTGCTTTAACTGTCTTTGGTCTTTTGTATCTCTGTATAAATCTTGAGACAGTTTTTCTATGTCTGTGAAGAAAGGCCCTGGAAGTTTCATTGCAATCACTCTGAATATGTTTACTGCTTTTCATTCTATTGTCATTTTCACAATATTAATTCTAACCCATTATCACTGGAGATCTTTCAGACTTCTTGTGTCTTCTCAGTTTCTTTCTTCAGTGTCTTAAGATTTCTTCTATAAGAGTTTCTGTTTCTCGGTTAAGTTTATTTCTGTCTGTCTGTCTGTCTGTCTGTCTGTCTCTCTGTCTCTCTCTCTGTCTCTCTCTCTCTCTGTGTGTGTGTGTGTGTGTGTGTGTGTGTGTGTGTGTGTGTGTGTGATAAATGAGATTGTTTCCCTAACTTTATTTTTAGTATGTTTGTCATTGGTATATTGAAAAGTTACTGACTTTGTGTGTTGATCTTGTATCCTGTTCAAAGTACTCATTCACACTAAGTGATTTGGGAGGAAACCTTTAGGGTCTCAAATATAGAGTTACATCATCTGAAAATAGAGATATTTGATTTCTTCTCTTCCTATTTGTACCTCTTTTTATTTATTTCTTTACTATTATTGCTCCAGCTCAGACTTGAAGCACTATGTTAAACAGGAATGTATATTAAACAGCCTTGTCTTTTTACTAGTATTGGTTGTAACCCTGATTTTTTGTCAATTTATAATGGAGTAGAAAATCAGAGGCATGAAGGGATATAAAGATTATGGGAGAAATGAGGAGGTAGATAGGAATGCTAAACCAAAGGAAAGGTTTATGAAAACCTATTGAAACTTATTATATCACAAACCAATATTTTTAAAAGGAAGGATAATAAAATACATGTTCTGTGGAATCATTCTGTACACTATGAAAACATGTTGCTCTCATTCTTAATAAAAAAAAGCTGATTTTTTATTAACCCCAAGAAAATAGAGGTGGGACAACCAAAGTAAGGACTGGGAAGAAGAAGGGCAGTGTGTAGAGTCATCAGTAAAGACAGAGAGAAGCAAGATGGGCATGCTGTACTGAGAAAATATACTAAGACATGTGGCCAAGAATAAGAAGTATGGGTTAATTTAAATCCAAGATTTAGCTAGTAAGAAGCCTGAGTTATTGGCCAAGTATTTATAGTTAATATAAGCCTCAGTGTGTTTACGTAGGAGCTGCTGGCAAGACAGAAACTTCTGTTTGCATACATGTGAAATAAAAGGAAGAATGCTGTAGGTTAAAAGATTAGTTGGTGGTGAGACCATGGAATATGGGAGAGGAAGCGGTAGTGGGTACATAAAACAAAACAGAGGATATATGAAAATGTTTCATGGAAGCCAATCACTTAATAAGCTAATTTTAAAATATAGCTTTAAAAGTGTTGGAACATAATTATCCTGGATAGTTAGATAATGCTGCTGCCAGATAACATAGGATATTAAATGAAAATCACAGAGCAAGGCATGGGTTATCACCCTTCTAATTATTGGTCATAGGGGCCTCAGAGGTGTCCAGAACAACACAGGTTTTTGTAAATGTTCTTAATTAACTATCATAACTGTGTGACAAGACCCTATGCAGAAGACAGTATATACTTTGGCTGCAGTATAAAGAGAAATCATTTTCAAAAGAACAAGAACTCCCTCCCTACTGGTTAGCTCTCATAGTGCCACAAGATATTATGTAGACTGCTTGGGGAGAAAAGACATCTGTGGTCTTCTCCAGTGACGGATGCTGTATGCTGAAATATTGACCTATGATGAGATATACGTCTACTAATACTATCATGACATAATGTTATAGGGTAACTAACCACATACTCTAATCTTACTTTGAGGCCTGCCCAGGAAGCAGTTTCATGAGTGGGACTACAATCATAATCAAAAGCCCATGGCTGGGAGGGTCATGGGTCGTAAAGTAGAACACGTTATTGCTATTTTGCCAAATTGTCTTTTTATGAAGAGCTCCCTTAATATTTATGTACCTAGCTATACACTTAGGAAGCTCTCAACCTTAATCATAGAAGAAGACTTTTTTCAGGATGGGCAGCAGTCCACAGATATTCAAAGCTCTTCAAAATGATGAGAATAGAAGATTCAGTGCTGAGCCCGAAATAGGATATCTATATCACCACCCAGCATTACTGCCAATGCTATGGGCATATTGTAGAAGGGAGGCAGAAACAAGCTAGTAGTTCAAAGATATGGAAGAATACTGTAAAAAAAATAAGTCTAGCTGAATTCAAGCATATGTGGAGCAGGTGATTTCTGAGTCCCATCCCTTACTTACAACAATTGTTAGTTGATGTTTTCTAAGGATGGAAGAATCAATTGTTTATTGAGGATATGACCAAGGATAGGATTCCCATGGTTCTGTGTATGGTCCATACCTATTCAAATATATATTCAAAGTATGTATACATATGTATAATTTATATATGAATATATTTGAATATATATGTATAGAGAGACAGATGGACAGATATGAAGGTAGGCGGTAAGATGTGTTGGGAAAACATGAGGAAAGCTAAAGTGGGGAATATGTGGAGTTTACATTATGAATATATTGTCTATAGTATATTGATATATTCTATATAGAACACATTATATTGCATTGTAGACATGTATGAAATTAGAAAATAAACAAAATTAAATTAAGGTTAGCCTGATATAAGGGAAATATTGATTAATTATTGTTAATTTTCCAAAATATTATGGTTTTCATAAGTCATGACATTTTAGTTGGACCACAAGCCTAGCAACATTGAGCCTCTCCCTTGGCCCAAACCATTGTCATAAATTCAACAGAAAAAAAAATAAGCTTTTTTAAAGTTCATCTCTGATCCTGAATGTGTTTTTCAAATACGTACTGGTTTTCTATTTTTTTCCTTTATTTCCATTAAGTCCACATTCCATTAAGACAACACCAGTCTATTTTCTTTCTAACACTCCTTAAGTTTCTTTTTCTGGTCACAATTTCTTTATTTGCCTGGATTTTTTCACCATTCTTCCACTTCTGGTTACTTTATATTTTACTTAAACTTCTATGTCCAAATCAGAGCTCAAGTTTTCAATTTGAATATCGCATCTCAGCACTCCAAATTTGCTCTAACACACCTAGGAAGGCTTTATGCCTATGCATCTTAACATTGCCTTTAAATATATAAAGTCAAACTGAAATTATACTAATAAAAATGGGCTTCTGTTTATTACAAATGCACAAACCTGAAGTGCCTTCCATGTTGGTTGCAAAGACTTTCCCTCCCTTGAAGGCCAGCAGACCTCAGAAGTTTGATAAAAAAGCAATAGTCTACTTCAAACCATGCTGCAAAGATCCATGTACTTAACTCTGTGTTTCTCTATCACTTTTTCAACCAAATTTTATTAAGTTCTGAATATTTAATCACACACACACACACACACACACACACACACACACACACACACACACTTCAGTTAAGCACTAAGCCCTGTGCTTAACAGACAGACATACAGACACTAATAAGAGTCTATTAAAATGGTGTTGTGCATATCAACCCACCGCTTGGCCGTAGAATTTTAAATAAAAAGTATTTCAAATAGCCTTGAGCAGGTGTCTGCAGTTCTGCAGTTCTGTTTGTTTTAATCATATCATAATAATTGTTTGACTTTGCTTTTTAAAATCAAAGACATTGTATTGAAAATTACGCAAGTATTTTTTGAATACTCTGCATATGGCTTATAAGATAAAATTGATGCTTATAGCTAACATTGTGAAGTTTCTTACATTTCCGTTGAAATATCTGATAACATTACCTAAGTTGTACAGTGTCTATCAATATCTCTTTTTTCCCCTAAAATCACATTTGAACATGCTTTTCTCACTGAATGTTAAAACGTTAAAACTTTGCCGTGTTGGAACCTATTAAAAATACTGAATATTCGGTGAAATAATACTTTAAAAATTTTTAATATATTCATACTTCAGCTGTAGGAAAATATTTGACACATATAACAACCTAAGTTTTCAAAACAGACATTTGATTGGGATACAAAAATACAATCTTTACTGAAAATATTCAAGATATTGTTAATGACCAAAGTGATTGCTCTCTTAATCAAAGACAGTTTTAGAATAAGACATTTTGGAACAAATAAAACAATAGAGTCCACTGTCATTCTATGAAAATTAGTAGGTCTATTTCAGTAAAGGGAGATTTCAATGGATATTAACAAACATAATTAGTTTAATGGTTAATGAGACTTGTCAAAAGAATATTTAAATGGACTATAAAAGATAAACATTAGAAGCTTTAAAAGAGAAGGAAACACATCAAAGTACATTACACACACACACATACACATTCACACACATACACAAATTCAATCACACCCATTCACATACACATGCACACACAAACATGCACTTATACACACATACACATTCATGTATACACACATGTACACAGAGAGAGAGAAAGATGGGGAAATCAGCAACAATAACCACTTACTGAGTCATAGATAAAATAACTGATAAAATTATGTATCAAATACACTCAAAATTTTAATATTCCATGAGATCTGGGGAACCATTTTGTCATGTATGCATGCGCTTAGTGACACGAGGCAAGGCTAGGAAAATGCAGGCACTTTTTTAAGTAAAGAAGGGCAAACACAAATGTTCCTTCAGGAGTCAAGCCTGGACATTTCTTATTTTTTGTTTTCATAAATGATG